GTGCTGAGGGAGACCATCCATGGGCCAGCCATACCTTAGAGCGAGGGCGTCGATAAAATCTTGTCTGTTTAGGCTGAATCCCTTCACTTTTATAGACAAGGTGGTGAGCCAATTCGATGCTCCCACTTCCTGTGTCATCTGGAGTCTCCTCTTGGCATCCTCTGGCAGTTGTTGTGAGAGGTGGTGTAGCTGTTCTTGTTTTTGTTCTCTGTTTCTTGTTATTTCTGTCCTTATTTTTTGTTGTTCTGCTAGGTCTATTTCCCCGTGTTTGTTTTGATTGATTATTTGTTGGGTTAAACCTGCAGTAAGTTTGATGGAGTTTTCATACTCTATGTCGGCCAGCTTACAGGGGTTTGGAATCCCCAAGCCTCCTTTTCTGGGCGGCAATTCAAATATGGACCTTTCGACGTCCGTTGGGTTGCGTCCTCTGTTAGAGCCGGTAAAAGTTCCCTCTTGATTGTTTGTTCGAGGGGTTCGAGGAGATGTCCAATGCCTGGCACTGTCCTCATGAGGTAGTTCCACCTGTGCCTGATTCCAAATGTGAGGGCGGTGTAGGCGGCGTGTGGTTCGATGGTAGCTATTTTAGCCAGCCTACGGACCTCATTTACCCACTCCTCGACCCTGTCCTTTATAAATTTTTCTCTGTAGTGTATCGGGCCAAGTATTGCCCCTAGATGTTTCTCTCCACCTGTTTTTTATTATTATGTTGGTGTTTTTAAATTTTTCCTTGGCAAGGTCAAGTTTTTGGGGCTTCACAATCAGCACAGTTTTTGGGGCATTAGGATAATAGCCTTGCATTGGCCCATAGAGTACAATCTCGTCCCACCATCTCTTTATGTCCTCAATTTTTCTGGCACCTGTTATGTCATCAGCGTAGGCAACCTGCTTTACTTTTCGTGGCTGATGCGATTTTGTAATTTTAGAAGGCCAATGGCATACATTGCCATGGCAACGGGGTCACCTTGGGTGGTGCCTTCTGCGGACTCTTATTATTTCGCATCTTCTGGTTTCCCTGTCACTAACGAATTGTTTGGCGGGTTGTGAATAGAGGTTCTCTATGTACCTAGCAAAGCTGGGGCATTTTATCCTTGTGTTGTGGAGCGTGACCTTTCTATTGATGTTATTGAATGCATTTGATGCATCTACCATGAACACTGCATCGCAATCTGGCTCATCAAAGATCTTCCTCATCGCGTGTATTGCTGCCTCGCATCCCGCCTTTTGTCCAGCGCATACTTGCAGGTTTCCCACTGCGCTTGTGATGTCATCTTTAACAACTTCCATCACTGCCTTGCCGATTATCCTTTTTAGGACTTCGCCTATGCCGATGGGACGGCAGCCTGGTTTCTTATCGAGCGCGATAAGGCGACAGGCAGTGAGGGCCGCAAGGTCTGGGCAGTTCTCAGTTGCCATTTTTCTGGCTAGGGCTGCTATGGCGTTACACAGATCACCTGCAACATTGCCAAACTTAACGTGGCTTAGTGTGTTTTTCCACGACTTGGCATCCATGCCTGATGGTCCGGCGGCACCGTGTGTGTGGAGGGCATGCTTCCAAATTCTCTCTCCTGTCATTCTGTCGAATATTACAGGTGGAGGTTGGATATACTCTCCCTGGTATGTCGCTTCGGCGTCGGCTTCTTTAGCTGGCGGGTGCTTGTCACTCAGCGCCTGACACGTGGCCTCGTCCAGGGGAAGGGTCCCGTGGGAATCTTCCGATAAGAGAGCGCGGGTTGCCCGAGATATTTTCCCTTGCTTGATCATGCTAGAGAATCTTCTAGCAATGTCTTTCTGAATTTGGTTGGCTGCTGTTTTTCTTCTTTTATTTTGCAGAGCTTGTGTCTCTCGCATTAGGCCTGTTATCGCTCCCTTTTTCCACATTTCCATCCTCCTCTCCATTGCCTTTACGTTCTCTGTTGTTTTGGATTTGCTGTGAGTTCGCTGGCATATCAGATGAGGGAGAATGGCGATTGCTTTAAGAGCAAGAGGTTGCAGGTGAAATGCGTGGATGTATTCTCTGAGGAGGAAATTTATTTCCTTTATAAATTCTTTGGCTGCATTGCACTTTGGGATTTCGAATATATTGCTGGGTGAGAAGGTGACTATCTTATTGTACATTGTGTCCGTTAATCGAATTGCTTCGTCAATCGTCGTGGCTTGCCAGTATCGCATGGGGGGAGTCTACCCCCCTTCCCGCGTTGTCTGCTGGCCCCGTTCCCTCTCCTCGCGAGCTGCTTGTGTGTCTCCGTTGCCGTTTCCTTCGCTTTCCGGGGTTTCTTCTGTTAGAATCTGATTCTGGCACATGGAACCCCTTCTGCAGTTTGTGCAGGGTCTTTGATTGATTGCACATGCGCATTGTGTGCAGTTCCTTGTTGTACATGTGCAACAGTACGTGATTACTTGTAAAGTGTATTTTTATGATCAAACTACTCTTATCTTTATATATATATATGTGTGTGTGTGTGTGTGTGTGTGTGTGTGTGTGTGTGTGTGTGAGTGAGTA